CAGGAAAAAAAGGGGACCCCCCCCCCCCCCCCCCCCCCTTCCCCTCCGTGGCTTGTCTGTTTCGGTAGGCGTTTATGCTGCTGACGAAGGGGGCGAAGGATGCGGGCCCCTCGACAAGGAGTGCGCTGTTGCCCCTGATGGCGGAGAGCTACCTCACCTACTTCGCCACGACCAGGTGTGTGGGAGCCTGGCCTCTGTTTTTTTTTTTTTTATCGTGTCTCGTCTGTGTTGTTGTCCTTGTTCTTGTCGCCGTCATCTTTATTTTATGTTGAGTGTTAAGACTGGCTGTTGGTCGCTCGTTGTCTTCGTCATCTGTGCTGTTGTTGTTGTCCTTGTTGTTGTTGTTGCTGTTACTCTCTCTTTATCTCCCCGTTGTCGCTGGCTCAGTTAGCTCAAATCGCGTGCTGATTGGTCCGTAGTTTTCGCGTTGTCGTTCAACGGCTCTGGCGTACGTGTCCTGCTCTCTCTTGCTTTTTGTTCTCAGGGTTCTTCTCACTGTGTCGGACAAGTACTGCACGGGACAGTTGAGGTTGAAGGCCCGCCCCGATCAGCTGGTGTCGCTATCACAGAAGTACGAGACCGACCTCAAAATCATGAGGGAGTTGTACAAGCGGGCCGACGAGGTGGAGGAAGTCGCCATCATGAAGGTGAGCAACCCGAACTTGTGTGGAATCCATGCCGTAGACCCCCTCTCCCTTGTTTTGCCTTCTTTTTTTTTTTGCGGAAACCGTGATGGTGGTTGAATAGACCATGTTGTGCGGGGTTGAAAACCATCGTTCCGCGTAAAGAGGATGATCGCGCCACGTTGTGTTGAATTGGTCAAGCACCAGAAGCAGTTACACAGCTCTTATCACGGTTAAGGACGTTGTCTGTCGACCGTTTCTTGTGGGTGTCACCCTTGGTTCGCTCCTTGCTCCTCTTTGTTTCGGCGACCCCATGTTGCCAAGCAGCAGTGAAAGTCATTCCCCGCTGTGTTCTTCCCCGCCCCCCCCCCCCCACCCCCCC